ATCTGCCATCACCTGAGCACAACCTGCTTGTGGAGAGCAATGAGGTCCCTCCTGAGCCTCCTCTTCTCCAGATTAAACACACCCAGGTCCCACAGCTGTTCCTCATAAAATGTAAAAAATTTAAACCCCGGGCCCACAATACCTCCTGTGAGCTCAGTCCCTCAGGTGTCCAGGAGTTGCTCTGTTATTTCCAGCCCAGCAGCATTTCCATGGTGGCCCAAGAGCTCCATCGCTGAGGGAGAGCAAAGCTGAGCCCTTGGTGCTCCCACCCTGGACAAAGCTCAGCTTTTCACTCCTTGTATTTAAAGCTGATCCTTAAAGTCTCTGTGCCTCCAGTAGACTCAGTGCTGCTCCATCCCACACACCACCAGGAGTGAGACCCCCCCAAAGCCTGAGAGGCAGTAACACACAGCACTTCCACCCCCTGAGTTTTCAGGACATAATTTATTTACATGGTTTTTTTCCCCACAATAAGTGCAAAGGACTTTACCCAGTGAAAACAAAAATACGTGGTTGGTGCTCTCACACTGCAGCTTGCATGAAGTGCGCTCCCTGCAGCAGAAGTGGTAGGGGATGCCCAGGAAAGCATGGAAGGGAGGAATGACCTCAAATTTTACTGCCCATTCTCCCTGTAAGCAATTCAAGGATTTCATAGAACCACAGAATCCCAGAATTGTAAGAGACCTCAAAGCTTATCTAGTTCCAAACTCCTACCACGGACGGGGATACCTTCCACTAGCCCAGGTTGCTCCAAACCCCATCCAACCTGGCCTTGGACACTTCCAGGGGTGGGGCAGCCACAGCTTCTCTGGGCAACCTGTTCCTGTGTCTCATCACCATCTGAGTAAAGAATTTATTCCTGACATCTAATCTAAACCTGCCTTCTTTCAGTTTAAAACTGTTGCCCCTTCTCCTGTCACTATCTGCCCTTATAAAAAGTCTCTCCCTCCTTCCCTCCCTACTTCCATCCCATTTCAACCTTTATTCCCAAAGCTCTGCAAAACACACCTCTGTTTATCTTTGAATCCAGGCTCTTCTGTTTTCATTCTAACTTATTATTTATTCACGATTTCGTCTCTGGAAGAACCAATATACTCTCCCTGCTGATTTAGTGCCCTGCTTTAAGCAGCTAAATCTAAATCAACCTCACTGAGTGCAAGGAGGCTTCAAATAGCTTTTCATACCAGTTATCCCATTATCCACACAAACCTTTAGTTAGTGCTCAGGACCCAAAGCTACACAGGGCTCCTTGTGATGTTTAATTTTTCAGAAAAGCTCTTTTTATGCCCACCCTGTAGATATGTGCAGTTGTAGATCTGTGCACACATCCTGGCTCTTCTGGGCCAGGTATTTATGTATCTGCCAATAAACAATAACTCCCACACCATCCCCTCAAAGGATACTTGGAGCGCATGGCAAGATTAAAGTTTTTATCAGTCAGATTGTTTCAGTTTCTCTGCTTCGAGTCTTTCCTCCCAGTTTTGGTGGCTACACCGTTGTTTATTATTGATGCTACTTTAGGGAAAGACAATCTTCACAAAAAAAGGTGGCATTTCAGGAAAAAGCTCTCTGTGATCCAAGCCAAGCTTTAATAAGTACAAAGTATTATCTGTTCGAAATTTATGCACTCTAAGCTGTATTTCATTTGGCAAATTTGCATTTGTCCCATATGTATGCAAGCTAGGAGGCAAAAAATAACTTACACCGTTTTTCTTTACTGTATAATCTGTCTGGCAGTAATTTTCCTTCATCATCTTGGTTACAGTACAGTTTTCAAGATTTTACCCTGGCAGGCAGGAGAGCCTGTGGAAACACATATGGATTTATGGATTTTTTTGATCTTGAGAAGGAACTGGAGTTTGTATACTGTGTATCAATCTGAAAATATTCTATATTCTGGACCTTATTTGAAGTATTGGTTTGCAGTTTTTAAACATGTTCTTTCCTGTTGGAAAACCAGGTTCTTAGTAGCCACATGAATATAGTTTTTAATATTCTATAATAATGCCTTACTGAAAGGCATCTCATTGTACTTAGGATACATACCTGTCATTTTTAAAGAATGTAGAAATAATACATTATTCTAAATAAATTATGTTACAATACTCCAGACTACTTTTAATTACAAAGTTTCCACTAGGAAAAATGCAGTTTTAGATGGAAAATAATTTTCTGCAGAAAAAATGGTGTTCAGCTTCCAAAACTTAAATGATTCAAAGTGACTTTGTGAGCTTTGGATCAAGTGCTTCAGCTGGAAGAGTATCAAGAGCCTGTTTTGTTGAGGTTTGGCCCATTAGATTTACATACATGGGAGATGAAGTCATGCAGGAGTTGATGGTGGCATATTTATAATTAGATTATTTAACTTGCAGCCATCTTATGTCTCCTCTGGTCTTCAGTTCTATTTTTTTATTTTATTTACTTAGATCTCATTTCCATAAACATAATTTCCTACTTTTGCAATCAGCTCTTTACAAGTGCAGAGCACACAAAATAACCGAGTACATGCCTTATTTCTACCAAAGTCACTTTTATCAAAAGTAAATGCAAAGTTTTTAAGGAAAATAACAACTGAAATTCAACTCAAATCCATCTGGTGGAGTTGTGCTATAAGTTATAAACCTTCTGTGTTTCTTAAGGCTCTTCCTGTTGCTCTTCTCTTCCTTTGTTCTCATGCTGCTCCTGACAACAAGAAAACCAGATTTATGAGCTTTGTGGGGTTTGTCATCCCTATTAAAATATTTTTAACTGTTCTTGAAACTCTGTATTTAAAGCTCCAGTTGGAACAGCTGAGCACAGAGGTGACTGAGTGACCAAGTGACTGACCAAGGCTGACTTTGCTTTGCAATCCCTTAAATTTCTTTCAAGCTTTAGGTGAGGTTCCAGATCGAGATTTCAAGCTTCCTGAGGTTGCAGAGCTGTGAGTTATGTTAATGCTGGAAATGAAGAAGGATCAGGAGATATAATTTCATTTTTTCCCAAGCTGCCTTTAATCACTTTCCACAAATAGTCATGCAGTTCAAATTCCACTTCCATGACCATTTACCAAAAGCCAGTTCTAAAATCTCATAAACCAGTATTTGCAGGAAATGGACTTTTAATTTGGTCTGAAACAGCTTATTGTTATAACCAGGAAAAAAATAGAAGCAACATAATTTTACTTACCTGATGACTTACCATGGCCACTAATACACTTTCAATAAAAGCAGGGTATTTTTAGTCCTCAAGAGGAGATTGTGTTACTTGTTAGGAGTGAATTATTTGCTCCATTTTGTCAATACAGCAAGAACTTTGTCTTCCCTCTTCCCCCACTATTTTTGGCTGCAGATACATGTATGGAATGAAAGCTACCAATCAGATGTTATTCCTTTAGTCACAGCAGATCCCATTTAAGATGGTCTGGAGCATTAAAGCTATTTAAATACAGGGCAACCCCTGAACAGCTTAATCCCTTTCGCTGGAGAGGAGAGGGCTGGGTAAGTCCATTGGGAAGACAAACCCAAGCAGGGTTTGATTTCCTGTCAAAACCATCCTTCCCACTTCCCAGAACAACACATGAAAATTGTCATATTCGGTACTTTTTTAGCATTTTTCATAAATAGGGGTTTCCTTGCTCAGTCAGAGCTCCTTGTTTGATCACAAATCTTGGGTTCAGCTCAGCACAGACCTCAAACCATCAGAGTTTACCTGATTAAAAGAGATGTTGTTTACCTTGAGAAGTGCTGTGGAGACCAGGGCGTTAATTTGTGCTTATGTGCCTTGAAGCAAAAGCACACAGTGCCTTTTCTCAGCCCTGCTTCCCCCAAAATCCAACCAAAAATATCCAAAAATGGAGCCAAGTTTCAAGTTTTTTGTGAGATCAGGTGAGTTTCAGGTTTCACCACCAAGTTTCAGGTGAATCTAAAACCTGCAGCCTCCACATCTGAAGGTAAAGCAGGTTGATACCTACAAAGAAAAGCACTTTGCAGTAATAAATGGAAGGGATTATGTTCAGTGCTTCCCCTGAATGCAGCTACTGGGTAGTGTTTTATTTGTTCACTTTGTAAGGTTAAAAAAAATGAACTTGTCTTAAGCCA